GGAGGGATGAAATCCCTAAACAGGAACACTAGCAAGTTAGGGAGCCCCAGCCCCATGGGTTGTCCCAGCACGCATGGGGCGAATAAGCGCAGTGGAAAAGCCTGAGCAACTGCTGCCAAACAACTGGGAAGATGCAGCCCACGATGTCTGTTGTGTCTGAGATCTCTGTAAAGTCTCTCGCATCCTTCCTCAAGTTTAGGTTTCCAGTGGAGGCTGTCGTGGTAATGAGAACGTCTCCCATCTGCTCCTCACATGGCTTGGCACATGTAGCTAGAATATATATATTTTTATTATGGGGTTAGCCAGTGGTAACCATGACGATTAGACTTATCACGCAGCATTTTTTTCCCTCCTCGAGTCAGTTTGAAATGCTGACAATTAAATAGATACAGTACACTTCAGAGATCCATCAGTCTCTTTGTTGTCTTGACAACCAGAGTATATTTAGAAATGTAACAAGTACATGGAGTTCAATTGCACTTTTGCTAAAACATAGTTTTGTAGCTTGAGAATTTAATCTGTTGTTTGTAGATCCAGGTGCTTATTTGAGCTGTGCCTGACTTTCTCTTTTGGTCTCTCTGGGAAGCTCTTACGTAGCAGCGGGGAGACTTGGCTGGTGGAAGGAAGGTCCTCATCAGGCAGGGAGCCTGTTGGAGAAGCTGTGCGTGGCAAGGGCTTGGGTGAGGGGCTGGCAGCCCCTGCGTACTTGGGTACTGGCTATCCTGTACCCCTGGGTACTTGTGGTGCTCTGTACCCCGAGGTACTCGTCGTTTGGCTATTGCTTTGCAGTGCAAGAGGAATGTGTGTGATCATTGTCGCAGATCTGCTGTTCCTGCAGTTCCAGCTCAGCAAATGGTGCTGGGAAGCACTAAGCAGCGTGTCTGGGCATCCTCTCCCCTCTCACCCTCCCAGATGAGCTGCTCTCACAGTTCAGTAGCACTTTGGTATGGGAGGACTGTGCCATGGTGCGCAATGATGGCAGACCATGATGGCTTGCCTCCTGCACCTGAGCTACCCGAGCTTTGGTTGCAACTGGGAGCTGCTTTTTGCCACTGCAGGAATAGTGGAAACTGTTTCTCCATATCCCTTCTTCTCTTTTTGTCTTTGAGTTGCTGGGGGCGTGTTTGTTTGATTTTAACAAAATACTATTACTAAACTTTTTTTTATTTTTGGTCCCTTCCCATTTGACTGGCAAAATTGAGCTCATCCTCTCCTCATTGAACTGGAGTAGGAGCACGTGGGCTGGACGTCTGGAGCTATGGATTTTTAAAGCTGAATGCAGGGCTGGAAGAGCAGAAGGGAATATGATGGAGTGCACCTTGGGGGGCTGTAAATGTCCCTGTCTCCCACCACCCCTGTGCACACACTGATGGTGGGTGCGTGTTGTGTGGCTGTGCTACTCTCTGCTCTTTCCCTTTTGAGCCAGCGGAGAGCTGTCATCGGTGCAGGCACGTGCGACTGGGGAGCACGGTTTGGGTGTCACAGCTGTACCTGTAAGTGTGGTGACGTGCATGCCAGCCCAGAAAAGCAGCTGGGACACGTGGCTCCCATCTGCTGCCGTCCTGCAGCCCGATGGCTGCGAGACGTGGGCTGGCACCACAGTGCCCTCATTACACTCTTAGCACAGGACCTGGCAGTGCTGCCGCCTTGCTTAACTCGCTGGCTTGCAAAGCTGTTTGTGAAGCGAGGCACACCCAAACACGAGGATCTCAGAGTATTTTCCTGCCTTGAGTGATAAATGAGTGAAATTAAAAGCAGCTGAGGAAATAGTGCAAATGTTACCCACCACTCCTCTGTTTGGCTGAAACAGGTTGCGATGCTGGTCAGGACTGCTCTTTCTGAAGGCTTGCAGGTCGAGGAGCTGCTGTAAAGGGCTTCTTTCCAGCGAGGTGTTGCTGGCCCTTCCTAATCAGCACCTGAACCCCAGGGCAGGGCCTGGGATGCTCGTGGATTTTCTGCAAAATGTCGGGCAAGACTCTTCCACCTCTCCCTGTCTGAGGCTTGTCTTACAACTGATGCTTGGCAGTATAATTTGGGCAGGACAGCTGAGAAAAACAAACAAACCAAGACTCACCTTCATCAACAAAGCTGTGGCAATGCAACAATCTGAACAGGAGCTCGGTTACAGTGGATGGGGTGGCCTTTTGCCCAGGGGAACCAGTTCATTTGGTGAGATGGTTTAAAGAAGGCAACCGTGGGTCCATGGTATGGATGTAGTGATGGTCAGTAGCATCCACCCTTGGGCAGAGAGCTGTAAAACAGGTCGTAGCATTGCTCTGCTGCCGGAGAGCATGGTCAGCATGAGCTTGCCTCTGGGATGCTTTATTATAGGGGGGTGAGGAAGGCTCGAGGGAGAGGAGCCCGGCCTGAGATCAGCTGTTATGGCCAGTGATGGCCAACAAAGTGCATCTGTATTTCCTGGGGTGCGCGTCATCTTGTCTGTCCACTATACCTGAAATATAATTTAGTAAGGTTCAAAAGGAGGAGAGGATTGGTTTTTTCTAGCATGATTTTGCTTCTCTCATCCCTGTGTTTCTTTTTAATTCAGCATCTGTCAAATAACATGGGTGATTTTTTTCAGCGTGTGCACAGCTCAGTTTCATTTTTCTGTTTTCTTTGCTCCCTCCGTTTTACCAATTTACCAATGAAAAGCCAAAAACATAGTTATATCTCCACTCCAGCTTTGTTTGTAAACTGTTAACATGCCTTTTACAAGTGCTTAATAGCTGTTGGGGTTTATTCTTAAAATACAACCACCAAAACCCAAAGATGCTAATGAGTCGTCAAGAGTGCTTTAAACAAGTTGCCCAAATCAGTCTGACAAAGATAATGGTCTTCTATTAGAGGATATTTAGCTGGAGGTTGGATGAGCTGTAATGTTTATGGGTCTGTAGATCTGTAACCAGACAAAATCAGAATAACTCCTTCGATTTCAGTGGAGCTGTATCTGTTTATTACAACTGAGGCTTAAGCAGCGCTTTAGATGCAAATTGCAACCTCTCTGAAGTTAAGTGGGGTTTTGATTTAATTCCTGGAAGCAGTAATGTCAGCAAAGAAGCGAAGAGCTGGGACCCACATACCCCGAAGTCTGTAACTTTGGGTTGCTCTCTTTCCCTCGCTGTCAGGATCAGATTCCCTTGATTTGGGCTAGTAATTAAAATGCAGCTTCTCTTAAGCAACTCCCAAAGGCAGGGGGAGAGAGTGGAAGTGCAGCCTGTGCAGATTATATATCTCTCTATAAAATGCCAGTAGTTATGTTGTTCTCTCTGACTGCTCCTGGTTGGGCTGTTGACCCGGAGCTTGTGCTTTCCAGCTCCAAACATGCCAAGGCACTACTGCTGAATTATCAGGCTGTGATGCAGAGAGGGCTGGGATCTCCTTTCCCCCAGTGCGTCTGTGTCCATGCGGTGCCCGGGAGACATGGACCACCACTCATCACCCCCACTGTGTGTGGCATAAGTGATTCACCATGCATTCATTTCTGGTCACATAAGGGGCATTAGTTTAAAGTAGGCTTGAGGCATAGGTTAGCTATTTGAAGTCTTCAGTCTGAAAGCAACATCAAATAGAGAGCAGAAAATGTATCATGCACAGAAAAATCTCTGGGATTTGTTTCCCCCTTTAAAAATATAACAATAATAATAATAAATTCCAAACTGTTTGCATACGCTGTCTCCTCTGTGGTCAGGACACCTGTCTGCCTCTTTGCTGTTACTTGATATGGGCTTACAGTGCTTGCAAAAATGTTAACATGAATTTTTTGTCATGGCAAATATGAAAGGAATATCCAGTGTCTGTGTGGGCAGGTCCTCAGCAAATTTCTCTGTGCTTCTTGCACTTCAGTGTGGATATGAAGCAACTGCTGCAGTTCTCCTCCCCTGTGCTCCCCTTCCTCCGCCGTGGACCAGGAGGGCGAAGCTGCTGCCCTGCCAGACCCGCTTCTCCTGAGCAAAGACAGCTGATGGTGGGGCTGATGGGTTTCAGCCTGGTTTCCCTAAAAAAATAGTGTATGTGACTGGCTAGATATGTCTCTCCTCCCTCTCTTTAATGATTTTTAACTCCTTGGCTAATCTCAGCCATGTTTGTTAAGAGATAATCAGGCTTTAGGAAAATAGGGGTGAGGATGCAGTTAGGAGGAGCAGGGGGTGACCTGGGGGAGGCGGGAGCGTGGTGGGCTGGGAGAGCTGGGGCAGGCGGAGGGGGACTGGACCTTTCAGTAATCATCAGTGGTATTTTTTTAAACTTGCTTATTTCTTCTCCAGGACTGAGATGAAAGGAAATAGAAAACACCAGAGTAGGCTCAGATATCAATAAGCTGGAAGTATGAAAGGCTGCTGGTTGAAAGCAGCTTGTGGTAACTTAGAAAACCTGTGTTTTCTTTTTAGCTGAGCCTCTTTGGAGGCACCCAGAAGGAAACCAGGGCTGGAGGTGGAGGTAGGGTTTGGGCTGTCTCACCCTGCTGCTTGTTTTTTTCCACAATTGGTGTGTGTTTAATGCATCCCATCTCAGCTTCGGTTCTTCTTGGTGCTCGCACAGCAAAGCCAATGCTGTGGGAGTGACTCACTGGCGGCCTGAGCGGCGGAGGAGGCTTGGGAAGAAGAGGCCCTTTAAGCATGAGAGGCAGAAGGGTGTCTGGTCAGGCTTTGAAAGAGACCTTGTTACCTGCAGCCCTTACGTCAGTGCCTTTCACCAGCTCTACAGTGATTTAGAACAAGTAGCTTCTCTCCCAAATAAACCTCAGTTATTCCAACACTTGCTCAGATGTAATCTGTCCTGCCAACGTGTGAAAAACCCTTATATGGGTCAAAACAGGGACAGACTGACACGAGTTGTATCAGAGGGGAAAAAAATGCTATGGTCTGCTCTGTACAGGAGGGCAGCTGGAGTTACGGGCCCTTTTGGGGCTGTTTTCTTGGCGAGGTGTCACAGCCAGCTTGATTTACTTTCTGCTTTTACAATGAGCAAAACATTGATTCTGACCTTTCTGTTTTCACCCGCAGAGGTCCCTTGGAAGAGCCTGTCCGTACGTCTGTCTGGGTGCCTGACGGGGCTGCCTTGCTTCCAGGTGAGGAGTGGATCAGGTCTCGGGGCTTCTGCCAACTGCTGAGTTTGGAGAGAGTAGGAGGACCCTGGGACCACGTTCGGTCATGCAGCAAATGATGGGCATTTCTCCAAAGCCTAGGGTGGTGGAGGCCAGGCTAACCCAGGAGGCTTGAGGTGGTTTTACTATTTCTGGGTCCAAGTCTGGAAGCAGCAAACGTGCAGGGCCTCCTGGGAATGGGAGTGTTGCATGGGAACATTTGCGTGGTCCCATGCAGAGCTGCGCTGGTCCTGTGGGCTGTATTACTTCAACTTCTTGTTGAATGAGACTTTCCTGCTGTGGACCTGAACTCGCTCCCCGTCCATAGCGTGGCTCTCTGCAGCCTGGATACGCTCCCAGCTGATGATGGAGAGCTGACTGTATTGCTAGCTTTAATCTAACCATGCTTCAGTGGGCAAAAGCAGAAAAGCGTATAAGCCTATTAAGAATAACCTCAATAGAAATACATGTGAGGAGCAAGTTCACAGAATCACAGAATGGTTTGGGTTGGAAGGGACCTTTAAAGGTCGTCTAGTCCAACCCCCCTGCCATGGGCAGGGACATCTTCCACTAGATCAGGTTGCTCAAAGCCCCATCCAACCTGACCTTGAACACTTCCAATGATGGGGCATCCACCACCTCTCTGAGCAACCTGTTCTTGTGTCTCACCACCCTCATCGTAAAAAATTTCTTCCTTATATCCAATGTAAATTCATTCTTCTGAATTACCAGTTCCGTTAAATTCACTGGAGATAGTTAGCTGTGACTTAAGGATCAGCCTGATAAACCACCCCAATCTCTTATAGGAGTTCCTTGCCAGGTTATGTGTAGGACATGAATTGGGCTTTGTGCCCATCCCACGATATGATGATTAATTGCGGTGAGGGTGAGCCTTCAGATAAGATTGCAAAAAAGGAGCAGTGTCAGGGCAGTAGGTCTGTCCTCAAGCCTCTCTGTTGTGCTGACCCAGAGGCAAAGGAAGTGCTAGAGGTGCTACAAAGTCATGGCAACTGGGGGAAGAAAGCAGCGAGCAGCCCCGATGAGAAGCAGATAATAACTGCTGGTCTATAACTGCTCAATGGCCGTGAAGTTCTCCAGGAGGGGACATGCCTTAGGAGAGCGTGGTGGCTCTGGGCAGTCTTTGCTGCAGTGATGTTTCCCTGAGCCCAGTGGCAGCCCCAGAAGGCCATGCATGGCGCATGCACCTGGGGCTGCGTTGTGAGCCAGCGTTGGTCCAGAGCAACCCATTGCCATGTGGGAGGGTGTGTGCTGGGTTTTATTCTTCCGCTACCCTGATGGTTTTGACTAGTGGAGTTACTTCACTTGCCTTGATGTTACCTGACTTGAGAATTGTAAGACGTCTGTACGGCACGCCGAAATTGGGAGTGCTTCTTCTTTACCCTCTTGTGTCACTGAATATAACTGCACTTTCATTCTGCCCTTTTGATATGCAATGCACATCCCTCCTTCCTTTCTTTACCCTCTTCTTGGGTTTATTTTTTTGTGGTGTTTTTTTTTTGTCTTGTAAATTATGGCTAGCTGGAGATGAGATTTCAGCATCCTGTTTACTGCAAACAGTTGAGGAGATTAATAAATGTTGAAAGACAAAGACAGACAAGGGATTAATAAGTACAGGACAGGAGATTAATAGCAAGAGAGTAGAATTTGGTTCAAGGCCTGGTCTTCCCAGTTGCTGGGTTGTGGAAGATTAATGGCATCTCTTCTGTTAGTCTCATTCTTTCTGTGGCAGCTTTCCTGGCTAATTCTAATAAACTGTCCCAGTGGGTTGCTGTAAATATGAAATCTAGGAAGAAGCCCATCCTTATAGACTGTTAACTAATGAGACAGCATTAGTTTTGCTTTCTATTCAAAGCTCGAGCAACAGCATCAATGTATTTGCGAATGGTGAAGTCAGATGTTCAGGTGCTTACAACTCCTCTCAGGACAAAAACGTATCACAAAATGTATCTTGCCAAGCAAGCTGTCTCCGACAAATTGTTTTTTACTCTGTGCCCTGTGCAAGAGATTGATTTCTCTTCTCTTGACTGTTTTTTCAGCTCTGTTTCTGTGGAAAATTGGGCTCTTGACCTATTGCATCTGGCCTCTCATTAGGCTTTGTGTGAGATTAGATCATTGTAAGGAAATGCTAACTTTGCAAAGAGCATTCCTGGTTAAATTTGCTGGAGAACTGTAGAACATGGGACTGCGTCACAGAAAGTCTTTATTCTGGTAGAAGGGTCTATGCTGTTCTGGATGTCCTATATAGAAGGTCAGCCTCAAACTCCTACCTTAAGGCTGAAACTTTCAAGTCAAGCACTGCAGTAGTCCTTCGGCGTCTGCCCTCGTGTATTTTCATAATCTTCACAAAGATGATCCCAAGCTCTCGATGCATAGGGTTATAGCAATATACAGGTATATGCACGGCCATTTTGAGAAGGAAGCAGCTGTGTTCCCGTAACAGTGAGCGTGATGAAGACTGGGCTAACATCAGAACTTCATGCAGCAATAGCTGAATTTCTTTTCCAGGGAAGAAAGGCTATGCGCTGCTTCAATGTCCCTGTAACGAAGCTCTTCCCCTCTCGTCCGCTCTTGCATGCGGTGCCCTTGGCTTTTCAGAAATTAATCTATTTGTCCATATTATGGTTCTCTCTTTAGTTTTATTTGTGTAAAGAAGAACATGTGCTAATCTTTCTCCAGAGAAATGTTTCACACTGCTCCTCTTTGAACGTTGGCCCCAGGTCTACTGCATTTCTTAATGAGTCTCTAACTAAACAGCTATGGTTCCCACATGCTCCAGCTTTGACACACGCATACTTGTACACCCACGTGCCTGCTCCCAGTTGAACCGAGCAGCCTGCCCACTCCCCTTGCACCCTCGCTGCTTTGGGATTTGCATTAGCAAGACAGCTAATGCTGTAGGAAGCCCTACACGTGGGAGGGGACTTTATACCTGCAGGTATAGATAGATTTGGCATCAAATGAGCTGTCCTGTGAATCGGAAAGGCTGTAACCTCTTTATCACGCTGTCCCCCCTCCCCCAGGCTCATTTAATGTGCTCCTCCGGGAGCCCGGATTCCTGTGGGCTACGTTACCCATGGTGAGGACCCGAGCTAGCACCGAACATGGAGCCGAACACCCAACACTGAATTACTGTCTGGTATGCCACCGGCTGCCAGATCTTTGATAGCTTGTTTTTAATGAAGATTCCTCCTGTAATTCCTAGAATATCTTGCAGTGCAAAAAAATGAGCTGTGTGTGTATTTTGCTGTGGGCTGAATTTTTTTCCTGCTCTTCACAGTTCCCTCCGTGAACAGAGAGGAAAGGGAGGGGGAAGCAGCTGACTGCTTTTTTTTGTTGTTGTTTTTCTACTTGACTTCTGTGAAATATGTGGCGCTCAATCGCTCGCAACTAACAAAATGTTTTTGTTTCTCTTTGCAAAAGCATATGGGAACTGCAGGAAAAGCATATGGGCGTTTTTAGGAAAACATATTGGTGAATGGACAAATTATAGTGGTGCCAATATGTTTTGGATGTCTGGCTAGACCACTACTACTACCACACTTGCTGGCATGCAAACCCATCCACAAGATTTCCAGCATGTGAGTGGTGTGTAGCTGCTCCCAGGGAAATGCAGGCTGGGCTGGATCAGACCCCTGTTAAAACAGCATTGTGATCCGTCTTCGGTGTGCGTGACTGCCTCACCATGTCCCAGACCAGGCTTTGGGCTCGTGTTTATGGCACCATATCCATTCTCTCAGTAGACTCAGCCCAGAGCTCCACTTGCAGCTGGCTGCAAGTAGTGGTAACCATTTTTCTTTCTAAAGCCTTTGACTGCAGTCCTAATAACACCTGAGCGTTTTGCAAACAGGCTAGGCAGCCTCTGGTTTCTCTCTGCTGCTCTGTCAGGTCTTTCTGTGTTAGCTGGAGCTATTATTTTTAATTTCTCTATCACACGGGCTGCTTTTAAGAAAATGCAAAACATTTGTGTTATTGCTTCTGGGCCCAGTTCTGTTTGCCTTGATACTGGTGATCCAGGGAAGGGACCCACCAACTGGGAGGGACTTGGCAGGGAGTGGTAAGGGGGTTAAGTAGTCTTGGTTGGTGGGTCGGTTCTGGTGGCTCACAGCATCCCTACAGTTTGAGTTGCCCTGCTCTGGATCCCTGTGCAAAGAGGAGTCCTCCATAGCTCTGGGCAGCCCTTCCTGCTCGCCCTGGCAGTGAGGGAGTGCTGCCTGCCCTGCCTCTGCCTGCGATGGGCACGGCCGTGCTGGGTTGCAGGGGTGGTAACAGCTCTCTGCCCACGTATGGGTTTCAGCAGGTCCTAGGGGACTGGCTGAGGCCTCCTTGCACAGGCGTGTACAGGGAGAGACACCTCCTGTCCGTAAGAGCTCCCGGTCTAAATAGACAAAGCAGAGCCGCTGAGGAGGATGTAATGATCTCTGAGTGTCGGGGAGATGGGCAATAACTGAACTCAGGGGGCAGTTTCATGAGCAGGTTCAACCAGTCTGAGTTTGTTCTGTTGCTAGAAGAGGTGATCTTGCTGTCCTTGTGTCCCTGGCCCTCATTTCTGTCCATACAGTCGCTTTTATCCTTTACAGGCGCGAGTGGTGAGACAGAGGAGGGGGCAAAACGTGGCTGGAGACTGAGGGGTAAGGAAGATGCACACTTGGACAGTCATTTGGATGTCACGTTCCTTATCTTGGTTATGAACCTGCACTCTCAGATATTCTGAGTGGTAATTCAGCACCGTTTAGTGTTCTTCCTCTTATGCCAACTTCAGGATGATTTGCTGCTGAGTAATTTTACATTATTTAATGTAGCCACTTTCCTTATAGCTCTTTTGTTCTGCGAGACAATTCCCTATTTTATTATGCAAACAGTACATTAAGATCCTTGTGGGCCAAAGTTCCCAGCAGTGCTTGAGATGATGGCAAAGAAGTAGGTTATTTCAGAAATAATGATTCTCTCCTCTAGAAGCTTTCTTG